GGAGAAACCACGCCCCGAATTTTCGTGCCCCGGGTCTCAGTTCAAAGCCCTCAGTTCCAGGACGCGGGCTGTAGCCCAGTTCAGTGGCGCGGGAATGGAGCCTTTTGCACCGCTCCCGTGCCTGGGCGCCTGGTTCCTGCTCACTCAGGGAGGGACCGTCACCTCAGTGAGGACCTCCGCGCGTCTCCCCGCAAGCCTAGGTCGTCTCCCCGCAAGCCTAGGTCGCAGGCGCGGGGACCTGGGCAGCCGCGATCCAGGTCTGCACTTGCTTTTCAAGCGCGCCAAGCGCACCGCTCTCCGCGCAAGCTTACCGGCAGCCCGGGCTGTGTGCGCGTCTCCCGGGGTCTTTGTTCTTCTCTAATGGCGCCCGGAGCCGTTCGCTCACCGCTGCGGCGGATCCTGCAGGGTTCGCCTCAGCTCCCGTTCATGGGGTGTGGTGGCTGCAATAGTTCCTTTCCACTCACAGTCCCGCTTGTTGCGTCGTTTGTTCTTGTGGGCCGTTTTGGTTTGTTGTTTCCTCCTCTCTGCCGGTCGGAGAGTGCCGCCTCTGTGGGCGGGGGAGGGGAGCAGGGTTCTGCGCTTCCCTCCCTTCTAGTCCTCTTTTATGGCCAGTTTCTTCTTCGGGCAGTTCGCTGGCGTCACCCGTTTATCTTCCGTGTCCCAGTTCTCACTGGGACCTGCCGCTTTTCCTCCCTATTAACTTTTTTTAATGGGAGATCTTACTCGCAGCGTCTCCTCGCCGCCATGTTGCTCCGCCCCTCCTCCGAGTTCCTGTAATCACATCTTTTATTAATGTATTACATACCAAGAGTTAGCGGCCTGTCCAGTTACTACAATAATTTTGAAGTAGTGATGAGTGGACATGATATTTTAAGATACTTGCATAATCTGATATGAAAATAGTTTCTGCCTGTGACAAGTCACAGGTATGGCTAATTTTAATGTGAATTGTTGCCTACTTTTGTTATGATGGAAATGCTAGATTTCAATTAGAAGTTAGTAAAAATTAAGGTGAAATTTTTCCCCACCCATGCTCTGAATCTGTTGGAGATCCCAGGAACTCCTTGCCTTAAATCTGCACCCTTTTCCTCCTGTCTTTTACCTTTTCAAGGGACAGACACTGCTGCTGTTCCCCAACTGCACACCCTTTTTATGTGCTGTGACTCCTGGATGTCCCCTCCTGTCCAGGCAGGTGCACCAGGACCTGTGGCACATCCATCCAGTGTGGCCAGTGTGACTTTACGCTCATCGTCCACAAGCTTTCCCCTTGGTCTGGTCATTGCTCACTTCCCTCCTTCCAGCTTGTGCATCCTCACCAGCCTGTGCATCCTCTTGTGCCCAGCTATGTGGATGGCATTAACAACCATTGCATGCGTCAGGCCCCAAACCCAGCACGTATGAGGAAGGGAGCCAGCGGGCACTACTGCTGCTGGGGTTATCACCCCAGCCTCTTTGAGAAAGTTTGGGAAAGCATTTGCTTAAACATTTTAAAGTACTGGTCTGCCCTTCCTCCCCCCTGCAATGTCATCTAAATTTCTACTCCTACAAGGTCTAATTCCTCTTTACTAATCTTTCCAACATGTACTTTCTGATCACTTTTCGGTTTAAAATCTCTCATGCGATTGCCTCTTTGTCTCCATGATGTAATATCACAGTACTCTGGCCTCCCTTGAACCATTTTCTTCTGTCAGTGCCCCAGCCGCCTCACCAAATTCCCTCCAGGTGCTGCTCTCCCGGTCTACCCTTGACTGGCTGAGTGAGTGGCTTCACCTGAGCTTCCCTTACCTGCTGTATATAGGCCTCAATTCTCTGGCTGGTTCCCTAAAAACCTTTCCTTCTCTTCAGGAGCACCATCCACATTGCAGTTCTTGGTCAGTCATCACCCGGTCCCTTGCAGGTGGCCAGAGTTTGGCAGGGTTTCTCAAGGGGGATGTAGTGAGAAGGATAGAGTTCCTGAAGTACGTGGTTAGAAATTGACTTGGAGCCAAAGGGCTTGGGTTCTAATCCCAGTCGTACCCTAGCTGATCTTGGCAAGGTGCTGACACTAGAGGTGCCCTCATTTTCTCATCTGTAAAGCTGGCTGTGGGTTTACAACCTTGGGAACTTCCTGGGTGAAATCTGAACCTGGCCAAGTACTCGAAGGGCGGAGAACACCCCAGATTACTAGGTGGCAGTTTTAATAAGAAGGGATTTATATACAATACTTGTCTTGAGAGCCTTGAGACAGTAGCTCTCAAGGCTGTACCCTCCATATCTTAAGTTTTTAGAGGCCTCAACTGGGTTTAGTGATGTTACAGTTCACATAGTCTCAACAATACATATCATCTCAAGATGTTGTCTTTGGGACAATTTCTAGCATAGAGAAGGCAACCAGAATGCACAATTCAAGGTCAGGGAGAGGGTGAGAAGCCTCTGATTGTCCAACCCAGCTATGGGGTCAATCAGTGGTCATGTCCTCTCAGTGACCTCCTCCAACACTGGTATAATAATGGAGTGGTGAGGTTGAAATGAGTTAATACTTATAAAGCTCTTTAGAGCCATGCCGAACTCCAAGTGAAAGCTTGGCGTATATTAACAATTGTATAATATAATTTACATACATAATAATTCATTTTAATTTTACTTGAAGGTTGTAGGGACAGGACTGGACACTGAGCAGGTTTTCTATGATCCAGCAGACCGGGTAAAGGAGGAGTCCTGGAGTCTTCTGTGGCCTTTGCAGGTCTTTCATTTAGATTTACCAGGCACATGGCAGGCAGGGGTGCTGGGGGGCCGGGAGGCTGGCAGGCCTCCCAGCCCCCAGCAAATCCTCACTCTATCTGGGCTCTCTCTGGCGTTCTCTCTGCTTCTCTTCTTCTTCTCTCAGCTTCCGTTCGTTCTTGGCTTCTGCTGGCGTCCCCGTGACACCGCCCTTATAAACTCAGTCTCTCAGCCCAGGTGTGCCCACTTCAGGTGCCCGCCATCAGGCATGCATTCAGGACCGCAGGGTTCCCTCATCTATCCTAATGGCGGGAGGGCAGAAAAGCCTGATACTTTTACTTTACCCTACAAAGGTCATATCCTACCATTCTTTTATTTTTGTTGAAGTTTTATTAAATCCTGTAGTGTTATTTGGTACCAAATATTTAACTTCACCGTGGTTGATATTGGACATAGATCTTAGCAGAAATAACTTATATGAGACAAAAGGAAATATTTTTGACAGAAAGACAAAAAATTTGGGGGTTAAAGTCTTTTAACATAAATTAACATCATCCCACAAGTAGTTATCTAGTTAAGAATTTAATACATACTTTTTATGTTTTGTTGAACTCAGAAATTTTTCTTGTAGCTCTTTGGGCAAAGAAGACATAGATATTGTTCATCAGAATATTTCTTTGGAAATGCAAAACATTATGTATGTTTGCAAACCAGGTCCACACTGAAGAGGTGGTTTTGAATGTAATTCAGGTCTTTTTTGCATGCACATTTCCATGTCTACTGGAAATATCTTATTCCTGTGGGAACAAAACTTTTAATGACCCTTGGCACACATCTTATGTAACGCTGATGTGCTCTTATCTCTCATTCTTCACTTCCTTTTTGTTTTTCTTCCAGCATCAAAGTGATATTTTCCTGAGGGTTAAACTGTTCCAGTCTTTCCTTGGTTTTGCCACCAGGTGGGGTACTGGCTCCTTCCTAGAAGATGGCCACTGCCTTCAAGTTTTCTCTAAAATATCTGTCTTGAGTCCTTCATTCTAAAGTGACTCCAGGAGGAACTTTGGAACCCTGGCCTGGGAGTTGGTGAGGACGGGAGCTGGGGCAAAGGTTAGATCAGAAGGAGTCTCTGGTCTGTTCATGTCTGTTCTTGCTGAGCTAGTTATGTCAATGATTTATGTTTAAGTTTTGAGTGACTTGAATTTTACTGGAAATACATGTGAATCTATTAAACAGGTGAATCGAGTGTCCCTTGGAATATCTGGTCTGATTTTACGGTTGGAAAAAACTAAACTAATAGTAAAATTAGGTGACCTTCACCTATTGTGTTAAATAGGTCTTAATAAAATAGAAATAGAAACAATTAGAATTAAAACTGTTCTTGGGTTTGAAGGCTAGGGAAAAGTTGTATATGCTATGAAAACTTGTGAAAAAAGCTGAGCATGCATTCTTATTCTTTCTTAAGTCATAGGTGAAACATTATTGATTCAATTTTAAGATTTAATTGCCTTATGAGTGAAAAATAAATTTGTTTCTTATTTTACAAAGTGTATATATATATATATACACAAAGTGTGTATATATATTTAAAATATATATTAAATATATTTAAATATAATATATAATATATAAATAATATAATATATTTATTTATAAATATATATATATATATACAGCCTTTAAATTTCTCACTTTGAAACCAGAGAGTGGTCATTTTGAAAGGCAACTGAATCTTTTTTAATTTTATAAATATAACCTAGATGTAGATGGTAAAACTGAATTGTGATTTTCAGGTTTACAGACACAAGTCAGAATCAGAAGTTAGATGTCCTTTGATACAGTTTTCATTTGAACTTTAGTGTTTATGAAGTTTTAGGCTTATTTAATGCTGTGTAAAAAAAATCTGATACTAATGATGGTCAGTGACTTCGATTCTCAGAAACAGTAATATCCTGTGTCCCTCTTGTGCAATATGAAATTGCAATTGTGTATGTTCCTGCACCACCACCCAGCTTTGACAACAATATAAAACTCCTTTCATGAACCTAATTGAGCCCAGACTATATTCTTCTTGTTTAAAATGAATGAGTCATTTAATACAGTCTGAGGGGGGAGAAAGAGCAGAGTTCTCTAAGTTTGTGTGCTATCATTTTCTTGGGCAGCAAACACAAAAATAGCCTGAAGTCTTCGTTCATTCTGTAGATAGGTGTTATTTCTCAAGGCAGCCCAGTGCCTATTTAACATATGGGGTGTGGTTTACAATTTAATCCAAGAGCTTATAGGCTGCGGTGCTTTGTGGGTTTGACTCTGCTAGAGTTGCTAGTAGGGAGCCGGCCAAAAAGGGACTTGGGAACAGACTGCTTTCCCAGTTCTTGTAGATTCTCAACATAGTTAATCCCCGCCCTGCCCCCCCTTCACCCTCAGCTGCTGTGGAGATTAGTTTAAAGCGAGGACTCTCTTTAAAGCACTATGAAGCAACTACTTTCCCAGGGGCACCAGGTTAGTAAATAATGATTTGAACTTTCTGCTGCATTGGTTAGTTTTCTGTCTTCACAGGGCGCTACCCTGCAGTCAGCTAGCATTTGTGCTGTTGCAGCGTTTTTAAGAAAAGAATGTGAGTTCATGGATCCTGGAGAAGTTTGGGGGCGGGGGTGTGTGTGTGTGTGTGTGTGTGTCTGATTCTCTTTTTAATACATGCATTGCTTGACAGTTCTGAATGCAAGTGGAAGCGGGGAGGAAATGACATGTGTGCGTTTGGGTTGCATTCTAGAGATTTGTACTTGTTTGTAAGCATTTTCAATTCCTTCTTCAGAATTACTTTTTTTGTGTCCGCCCACTACATATTGGAGGAATCAGTTTTATTCGCAATTGATTTTATCTCTTTTGGACAGTAGGCAGTAGTGTGTTGTGCGTAGCTGGTGGTGTCCCTGGCCCTGTGTATACTTGCCTGACGCAAATTTTTCCCTGGGGCCTACTCTTTAGAGTTACAATGAACCAGAATATCACTTTAATGTTCTTTTTGAAACATCTGGCATTTGTCTAGAATGCCTCTTAAAACACCTATATAACCACCGATGTGGGTAGGGGCTACAGGTGGATGAAGCTGAACTGAAGCCCTTGCTGAGCTGCAGTTTTAATTCTTAAATGATTCGTCAAAATTCCAGATCATTTTAGGAGTAAATAAGACCGTGAAAGTGGAGAGTGCCTTAGAAAACATAAAAGCATTGTGGGTAGTAATGCAATGAGACTAAGTCAATAAAATTAATTATAAAAAAATCTTCCTTAATTTCATTCACTTAAGAATCCAGAGAGCAACTTTATCGTTGTTAATTTGTCACCAAAGCACACCAGTTTCCATGAAACTTTTCTACAAGGGAGGTTCATTTTGATGATTTGTTATAGTTTGTGACACTTCATGAAATATGCTTGCTTTTATGTTGAGTATATGAGGTAATGTATTAGTTTTTTAAAGTATGCCGACATGCTTCTGATTTTGCCATCTTAGTCTTCTCTTTTTATTTCCTACTGGGAAATACATTATATCATACAGTGTTCTTTCAGGTTACAAAAATGAAGGCAAAGAGAGAAAGAAATAGTTAAATTAAAAAAAATTCTTTCTGTCAATATGCTAAACATTAAAATTCATACTTCCCAGCTGTGTATAGACTGACGTGATAAAAGCTGGGGCTTTATACCTCATGACACAATTATGTAGGGGTAGATTGTAGGGGTAGATATTGCCTCTGCCTCTACAGTTATCTTCTTTAATAGCAAAATCACGATATCATTTTAGCTTTCCAAATAAAAAAGCAAAAGTTGCAATGACTGCTTAAAATATGCTATTACTGAATATATCCGCTATTATGCCATTTTAAGTATTAAATGTTATTTAAATTTTAAAGGAAAACTTTTGTCAACCTGACTGTAGCTACCCGAGGATTTTATAGAAAAATGTGAAGCCATTTTACTCATTGATTGCTTGTTTGTAGTTAATGGGTATAGATAAAAGTCTTAAAAAGTTCACATAAAGTGCATTTAAAGCTGTTTAGACCTCAAATCTGTGTCCTCAAGTGCCTCACAGCTTTTTCATCTAGAGATGAAAGCAAAACAAGATGTCACAGAATAGAAACAAATTAGCAGGATGACAAAGTATAGAATAAGAGGGGAAACTCCCTAAAAACCAGAATTTAGGTTTTCCTTAAAGGATATTCATTAAAATAAGTTTCCTCTGAATATGTGAAGAAAAACAGGACCGTACAGTCAAGTGTCAATGTCTGTGATTTGGGGATAAAATAAGCAAATCTTATTATTGATTCTGGATTTAGAACATGCTTTACAATTCTCATTCTCTTCTTGCCAGACTGGTTTTAGTTTTATTACATCCCTATCTTTTAGTTCAAATTAAGTAAAAATGGGAAATTTTCTCATTTGCTGTCTTGTAATTTCAAGTTAAGCTTTGAGCTGATTAATTTGTATCCAACACACTTTCTTGTTGATGTTCAAAGTGCTTTGAATGCTCAAATCTCAGATGACTTGTGAATCCAGCTGATGATCCAGAAGCATGTGATCCTGTTTTCTTTTAAAATAAATTTGAGTTTTCAAGTTGAGAGAAATCCTTAGGCAAACTGTTACCAACATGAGTTGGCCCACTCCCCTAAAAATGGGGGAAATGGAATGGCAATAAAAGGACTTTGAGGAAAGATATGGAGAACCAGGAGTAATCCTGATATTGGACTTATTTTCTGACTGCTCAACTTTGATAAATTTTCGCCTATCGACAAGTTCCCTCTGCAACCTTGTCAGGGGCAGGAAGGGGCACAGGGCAGGATTTCTAATCCAGCAGACGGGTAAAGGAGGAGTCCTGGAGCCCTCGGTGGCTTTTGCAGGCTTTTATTGGGATTTACCAGGTACATGGCAGGCAGGGGTGCTGGTGGGGGCTGGGAGGCCGGCCAGCCCCCAGCAAGTCTTCACTCTTTCTGGGCTCTCTGGCATTCTCTGGTGTTCTCTCTGCTTCTCTGCTCTTCTCGTGATTCTGCTCTCTGCTGGCATCCCCGTGACGATGCCCTTAGAAGCCCAGTCTTAGCCCAGGTGAATCCCATCTACACATGCCCACACCCTACTCCGGTGCCCGCCATCAGGCATGCATTCGGGACCACAGGGTTCCGTCATCTACCCTAATGGCGAGGGCAGAAAAGCCTGATACTTTTACCTTACCCTACAAGCCCAGATACCTGTCATTCTGCCCCTACCTCTCGATCTTCACAGTGCATGTTTTGGGAGGCAATAGCTCTTGAGTTGCAATTTCTTTCCTTATCAGATTCATTTGAAGCCACAACAAACATTGTGAACCTGCCCTTTTCATACCACACCCCCTGGATTCTTGCTCTCATTTCTGTTCATGAAATGTGCCAATGTGTGATGTGTGTGGGTCCTATATTTACATATCAGAAATTGGGGGCAGAAAGTGGGAAGATTGTGTTGCCACCCAACCCAGAAATTTACTATTTGAATAATGACAGTAAACACTAACCTCCCAGAGGGATTGCAATGCTGAGCACAGATTTTTACTGTTAGAGTAGATCTGACTAGGGGGTCTCCCAAGTGCAGAAGAACCCAATTTAAGCTTGACCTTCAGCCATTTCTAGGATTGGCAGCAATAGTCATCATGGCAGGAGTAGTAGAGGGGGTGGTAATAGCAATAATAATAACCAACACTTGAAAACATCCCCCGAGCACCTTGTTCTGAGCCTCCTATTATACAGGCCTCACTACAACTCTTATCTACTATAACCATTTTACAGTTGAGGAAGCTGTCCTGGGAAGGTTACAGAATTTGCCCCAAGTCATGACAGCTGGTTGGAATAATAGTATAGTGCTGAGAAGAGGTTTGTGGTGGGAAAATTCCATTATTTTTTATGAACAAGATGCAACTCTGTAAATATCGACATCTGTGCTGCTTTTCACGCAAAGATGCTTCTGTTAACTCACTGTCATGTCCATTGTGTCCTGTTTCTACCTGGTGGGGGTGAGCTTATGCTCTGTTTTCTCATCTTTTCTGCTGGGGACCAGTGGCAAGACTCTGGTAAGCAAAGGTAGATATAGAGGTGGCCCGTGACTAGTTAGGGAGAGCAGTGGTGACCAGTCCACATGTAGAATAAACCCACTGTCTCCTAACTATTTAAGCTAATTTTGAGACATTTTTAAAATTAATTAATTTATTTATACAAGCACTGGGTACAGTCAGAAGCGCGGGGGGTGGTGAGAGATTCACCAGAGTGAATGGCATGAGTTTTATCTTTTTTTGATTGCTGAATAGTATTCCATTGAGTATATATACCACATCTTCTAAGAATGACTTTCATTTCCTCAACTACTTTGTAAAGGTTGGTTTGGTAAGGTTTCCCTTAATAAGAACTTATTATTTTATAATAAAAAATAAAAATGGCTTAGGAGTGACAAGTTAGAGTTTTATAAAGGACTTTTACTTTGAAGAATAATTATTTTGCTGCCTTTATGCATTATTTTAGAAGACTGTCTTGATTTTTATGAATCACGCCATTTAAATCTTTAGTGAATTATTATAACTAACAAAATTATTAGGCAGATAGTTTATTTAATAAGGGATGTAGGAGGAAGCTAATTTAAATTCTCCAAGCATCAGTTAAAGAAAGACACATTCATGGATTCCATTGTGTCCAGATGTCTTGATAATGCCTGCTGGGTCTAAGAGCAATGGATGATGTTATGAAACAAACAGGCTGACACACGGAGACCATCCTTAGAAGAGATAATTCTATTGGAATAATGAAGATGGAAGAGAATATGGAATAGTGGAATTCATTCTTTCCCCTCCTTGTTTTACAGATGAAGTCACTGAACACTCTCCCCTCCCTCCCAAATGATTGAGTTTCTAAAAACTACAAATCTTAACAGACTCAATGAGAGTTTTGGGGTCTTTTAAAGTGTCTTGAATCCCCATTGCTGTTATTTCTGATATTGCATCCTATTCATTTAAACACAATTTAGTCATGATGAATGAAATATTTCTGTTTTCCTGGTAAAAAGAAAAATCTAATATTATTCAGCACTTAACCTAACAACATTTGAGAAAAAAAGCCAAAGACTGATTACCGCTTCCAAGGAAAATTTACCAAATTCACAGGCATGATTCTTCTTCTCTTCATTGTTGTTTGAACATTTTGTTCTTGGGTACAGGCTTACTTAATGTGCATCTGGTTTCCATGTTTGTTCTGGAAGGCAGCAGCCACATGGAGTGGCTAGAGAACACTTGATACTGAGCCCTGGGAATTATTTTTAAACACCTTTATTGATAAACAATTTGCATGTCATAAAGTTAACACACTTAAAGTGTGCAATTCAATGGTTTTTAGTATATTTACATATTACATAATCTGATTTTACCACTATCATCACCCCAAAAAGAAACCTATACCCACTCTTCCTTCCCTTTCTTTCCCTCTTTCCAGCCCTAGACAGAT